ATTTTGAACCACTATCTAATGTCTCGAAACAATCAGTATGCTCGTTAAAGAAGTTTCAAAAAATACAAAAAATTTACTTTTGCACAGAAAAGAGTGGATGACAATGTAAACGTAGATACCCGCACCAAGAAGCGGTAAAAAAATTGAATTTTGTTAACAATAATTTATATGTAACTACTTGGTGAAAATTTTGAGTCTTTTACATTTTCCATTTTAATTGTAGCATCAACGACTCACTCCTACCCTTGGCTCACTCCTACCCAGGGTTGGCATTAAAAAACCCGCCCAAAAAAACCCGCCCAATAAAACCCAAAAAAACCCGCCTAAAAAAACCCAATAAAACCCTGGAAAATCTGGGTTTTATTGGGTTTTTTTAAAGATATTTAATAAGTTTATGAACTATTATAACCAACTTTAACATTATAACTATAATATTATTTACTAAAATAATTATTAACTATTTTTATTAACTTAATTATTATTAACTATTATTACTAACTATTATAACCAACAATAACAGCTATCAGAGCAGGTTTACTATTATTTGAATCATTATTTGGAAATACATTATTACAATTTTTATTCAAATATTTTTATCGATTGAGATTTTTATTACATAATGTTGTTCACCTCCCAAGTTGAATTTAAATGAGTAGTAGTGACCAGAGAAGCCAACACAACAGTCGAGGAGGCTACCTTGTTGTGGTTACAACCCTCTCTCAACTCTTTTGCGGTAGTGGTGTTGTGGTAGAGCGCTCAATTCATAAGTGAGAGGTTCCGAGTTTGATCCCCACCACGTCCCTGGCAGTACCGCGCTCAACTCCTTTCTCCGCGCAGCGGCCTTGTTCGTCAAGGTTCATGTTTCGGAGTTATAGAGTTGAGAGAGGGTTATAACCACAAATAAGTAGCCTCCTCGCCTGTAGTGACCATAAGCTTTGAGGAGGTGAATTGATTTAAAGAAGAAAAAAAACTCTTTAACTCCTAAACACGAATCTTTATAAACAAGGCCGCTGCGCAGAGGAACAAGTTTGTTCATTTGAATTTCAAGTTCAAAGTTTAATTGAAACTTCAGTTACTACCTCCCATTCTCAAGCCTTCTTTTTCACATTTTCTCATTGACATTTTTAATTATATAAAATAATACTTTTAAATTTAAAATAAATCAATACATATAGATTAAGCGTGAAATTTTTTTTTCCTATTACAGTTTTAAATTATATTTAAAAATTTTTTTCAAAACAATTTGAAAAATTCTTGTTATAAATAATTAAACAACAATATATTAAATATATTTTAAATAAAGTTAAAGTAGAAAAAAACTAATTTTCAATATCAATAAACAAAAACACAAAAATTTTTTTTACAGAGACAAAATAAAAATTATACCCAAAAAAACCCAAATTTACCCAATAAAACCCAAAAAAACCCACTGGGCCGGGTTTTTTTTAAAAAACCCGGGTTTTTGCCAACCCTGCTCCTACCCATCCTCTCTTATAATTTGATTTAAGAAAAAGTGTTTAACAATCATTATTTTTTTAATACCTTGTAACGATCCAAAACTTTGGTAATTAGTTTTAAATGGGTCGACTGCAAAGCTGGTTTTATATTTTAAAGCATCAACATTTAATTTTTAAATATTTTGCGCAATATAAGCAAATTAGTTTCTTAAATAATCATGTTGCTAGCTGACTGCTGGGAAGGAAAAGTTTTTTTCCATCAATTTTAATTTTTTTTTAATCCTTGACAATTATTTACTTAAACTAATTGGCCATTTTAAAGTTTTGTTGTAATAAAAAAAAAATGGCATCAAATAGTTAAAAAAAATCCACTAAACTTCATGTTGCATAGTTGACTGACAAAACTAAATAGTTAAACGTCGCAAATTTTGTTTGTTTTTTTAATTCAATAAAATGTTTTGCCAAATATATTTTTAATTTCAAAATATTTATATTCAATTAAAAACTATTTAAAACTTGAAAACATAGTCAATTTAAAAATATGGAATCATTCCAGAAACCAGTTGCTTGCTCATCTAATGAAAATATAAAAGATTTTTGTCAACATTATAGAACTTTTATTTTAAAATTAGTTTGCATTTGTATTTATAATTTATTTGTAGTTTACTTTTTTTATTATAGAAAAGCACTGAATCAAAGGAGTTACATATGTAGGAGTTACATGAGTAGAAATCATGACGAAAAGAAATACAAAGCAAAAGAAAATGCTAGACTTCAAAGACTAAGGTTGAAAGTAAGATTTTCAAAAAATTGCAGCTAAAAGAACAAAAAGTTTAAAAAAAATGAGAAAATTTCAATTTTGGCAAAATGACTTATCTTTATTTGTAGAATCAAATCACTCATCATTTGCAAATGTGCAAGTTAAAGGAAAGTATATGAAAAGATTTTGAAGAATTTAAGCTAAACCATACAGATGTTAAATTAAATCAAAATTTTGTCAGTTGAGACCAATTTATGTTCAATGTGTATCATCAATTCCTCATAACGTATGTGTTTGCATGTTACATGAAAATACGTGTTTTGCTCTTGAATCACTTTTGCGGAGTTCAGATGTGTTTTCTACAACTAAAATAGGAAACTTAATGATTCAGAATTTTATTTGTGAAAAACCAACAAAACAATGTTTCAATGCTGTTTTCAAGGAATGTACCATTTAAAGTCTTTTTGATAAATTATTACTTCAGTTAGAACAATTTGAGTTAGATGTTGCATGGAATCAGTGGTAGAAACCTCAAGAAAATTCATATATTAAAATAGAAAAGGTTAACAAAAAAGGAACAATTTCAGTTTTGTTATCACATATTAAAGAAATGACAGAAAATTTTATTTGTTTTTACCAAAACAAAACGCAAGCAAAACTCATTTCGGTCAAAATCACATTTCTATTTTAACATGTGTAGTTTGGCATTGTCAAATTAAATCTTTTACGCTAGTTTCTGATTCAAGAGACCATACGAAATTATCTGTTGTTCCAAACATAAATAAAATTATCGAGCTTCTATCAGACAATATTACAGAAGTTCATATTTTCAGTGACAATGCCACATCTCAATTCAAAAATAAGTATATTTTGGCATCAATGAAAATTTTAGAAAAGCATACAATTAAAATGCACTGGCATTTTTTTGCTGCAATACATGGAAAAGGAATTGTGGATGGAATTAGAGCCACAGTAAAACGTGTTGCCAGAAAAATGTTTTAACAGAAAAATATAAAATTTCTTGCGCTAGCGATTTGGCAATTGCTACAAACAATATAAAAATTACTATTATATTACTAAATGAAAAAGAAAACTAGAAATAAACAACTCTCTTGGGTTGAGGGCTTTTTTTAAGAAAACAAAAAAAAAATAAATAAAAGAATTGTGTAAATGCCATTACTTTCAAGTTTTAGACGGAAGAGTTGTTGGTGAACAGCTTTTGCTGAAAAATTGCATGGTAACAAAGGAATAAAAACTTATAAATTTACATTAGGTGTTTAGACAGTTTAGAAGTGACCAGCTATCTTAAAAATGACTTTTATAAACTGTAGAAACAATTTTTATCATTTGTAAATAAAAGCTATAAATATAGTATGAAATTTGTTTAATGTTTTAATCTAAATTATATATATATAACTCGCATGTTGTGTAACTGATAGTTGCGTAATTGACTTTATGGTTTTTGAAAAACTTTTTTTTGACTTGTAATTATTATTATATTTAAAAAGTTTTATAAATAAAACTTGGACAAAATAATTGTTAATGAAGAAAAAAAATTTTTAATGAAAATATAAATAATCATTCAAGAGAAAAATTATTTCCAAATTTATATTAAAAAAAAAAAAGCTTCATTGTGAGTTGAGTAGGTGACCACTGTCTTTTAGATCTACTTATGTCAAACTATATATTTATCTTGTGTTTTTTTTTTTTTTTTGAATAGCAATAACAAATGATAATTAGCATATACAGGAAAAAAACAAACAAATTTATATTATATTAAGTCAGTTAAATTTAAAAAACTTGTTGTGCATGTTGCGTAGCTGACCGAAGAACACTACACTTAATGTTTCAATTGAAGATTACTTCAACAATCCAGATGATGAGTGAGTGAATTTTAATGAAGAACAAAATTTGATTATTTTAATTAGTTTGCAATAGTTGATGTTCTAATTGCTGTTACAAACTAATTAACTGTTCGGGAAAAGATTACTACATCTGTCCAACAACATCCGTGGAGTAGTGAAATAACATCTGCACATTTTTGTGTATATACATACACAATTTTTGTGTATGTATATACACAATTTTTGTGTATATACATACATATATATATATATATATATATATATATATATATATATACATACATATATATATGTATATATATATATATATATATATATATATATATATATATATATATATATATATATATATATATATATTATATATATATATATATATACACATGAATTTTTGTGATGACTTGCCGCTCTTATTATAAATGTGCAAAATTATTGACTTAGTAATTGTAAAATTTTATGTATATTTTTATTTTACTATATAGTTTTTGTTTTGCAAATTATTGGATTTTAGTCTAAAAATAGTAAATTTACATAAAATTTTTTGTATAATGATTTTGCAGTAAAATGGGTGTATATTAAAATGTAAAATATGGGTATATATCAAAATATAAAATACGGGCGTATATTAAAATATAAAATATATATGTATATTAAAATATAAAATATGGGTGTATATTAAAATATAAAATATGGGTGTATCTTAAAATAAAAAATATGGGTCTATATTAAAATATAAAATATGGGTGTATATTAAAGTATAAAATTGCGCAAATAAGTATTCTTTAAATCTGCTATTAAATGCAGAATATTACACTCCTTCACTTTGAATAAAGTAAACTATATATCAATAAAACTTATATGAAAAACAGAAATATAGTTACATAGTAAAGTTATCTTTATCAAAATTTTTTTTTATACCTTTAGGTTCATAAAAGCTATGCCTGTGCAAACTTTGAGCACCATCAATTTTTAGAATATCGCCAGTGATAAAAGAAGCTGCAGGTGATAAAAGGAAACAAACTAATGCTGACACCTGTCATAAAAAAAATTATGCTTAAATCCTAATATTTGATTCTAAAAGAGGTAACAAAAACATTCTGTAAAACAGCCAGTTTACTCACTTAATATTAATAACAATCTAATTAGAAATTGTTTTGATTCTCCTAGAGAAATTGCTTTAAGATAGATAACTAAAGATAACTAACTAAAAACAAGATAACTAACGTTTATGAATTTTAAATTGAAAACTATTCTTTTATTGAAAACCTTTTTGTAAAGTATGTAAAAACTTGTAGTGTTTAGTTGTAAAGTTTTCACAAATTTTTTTTTATTAGATACATACTAAAAAACTATCTAGCTTGCTGGAAAAAAAACATTAACTAGTTACATTATCTTAGCTATGGATTGCAAGATATTTAATAAAATTTATCAGCTTTCAGAAATTAATTATTTTTAAAAAGTGAAAGAGGTAACAACAGTTTTCTGTAAAACAGTTTACTCACCATCGATAACAATATAATTAGAAAGTATTTTGAACTCTCCATAACAATTTTGTTTTGAACTCTCCAAGAAAAATTGCTTCTTTTTTTTTTTAACTAACCAACTTTTGGTTGTAAGAGAGAGAAAAAGAGAATTAATTAATATAACCTTATTTTAAAAATTTGGATTGGCTCTAAAAATACTAACCAACCTCATTTTTAAAAAGTTTAAAATTGAGGTTGGTTAGTATTTTTAGAACTAATCCAAATTTTTAAATTAAGGTTATATTAATAATTTCCTCTCTCTTACAACCAAAGGTTGGTTGGTTAAATTTAGTTTCAGATATCCATGTTTAAAGTAAAAAATTTCAATTTCAGATTTCCAGAAATCAAAAATTCTATATAATTTTTTTTTTATACAACTTCTAACTTCAGTTTAAAAACGAATGGTGGTGGTGGTGGTGGTGGGCTTATTCTATTACAATTTCAGCAACGAGAAATTGTAACAATGGTGATTCTTTTTAATGAAGATTTATTAATAATATCTTAAAAAATTATTAAAGATAATAATCCAGAAAAACTTGAAAAGTTTTTATTTTAAAACTTGCATGAAACAAAGAAAATTTATTACAAAAGGGGGGCTGATCACACACTGACGGAATATAAACTGATCACACACTGACAGAAATATATATATATATATATATATATATATATATATATATATATATATATATATATCCATTATCATTTGGAGTCTGGAAATGTAACAACTAACAACTATTTCAGATTGATTCATAACAATGCCGAAAAGCAGGTATGAGAGGTATGAAATAAATGAAAAGCAGATACCATTTTACAATCAAGATAAATGACTTTAATTCTGCAATTTTTGCAAAACAGTCATATACGGGGATGGTAACAGTTTTTTCATTTCAAACAGCATCTGATATGGAAAATAGTTATCAACTGGGGCCCCGACCCTGGCTAAAAATGAGACTTTTTGCAAATCTGACAAAATTGTAAGATTTAGCAGGGGTTGATAGGCGGGGCTAGAAATAAATTTATAATTCTTTATATATTATAATTTTATACTTACATTTACTATTTAGTAAATTCTGGCATATATTTATGCCAGTTTTTAATAAATAAATACAGATTAAGTAAAAGGATGCAACTTGTTGAATAAGAAGCTAAGCAAGAATGAGTTTTGGTTTATTTTAATAGAGATAATAGCTTGTTTGAGCATTGATAATGGTTAGAGAAATAGCATAAAAGAGGAAGGCTAAAGCCTGCTGCAGCTGCTGACAATAATGATGATGATGATAATGATGATGATGATGAAGGCAATGATGATGATAATGATGACAATTATGATTATCATGATGATCATGATGATGATGATCATGTTGATCATAATGATGTTTATAAATGCAAATACATATACAAAATCAAACATAAATTTTGAAAAAAAAAGTACTTTAGGATGTATACAAGTTTATGTAGCCCCGGTCACAAACCCGGCCTCGGCTGTATTTTATCAAACCCAGCCCTGGCCCCAGTTAAAATCAACCCCGGTCGTATACTGATGGAAAATTAGAAAAAAATGAATATAACATTGACAGTCTGAGTAAGCAAGTAAGCAAGGATAGCTCTGCTGCATGATCTTTTTCTAGATCCAGTCCTAACGCCACCTTTGAAAGTCCCAGTACACTGCCAAAACAAGACACTCTTCTTCTAAACTCAGCCCTTCACATCTAAAGATTTAAAGCCAATAAGAATTACTTATTGGCTTTAAATCTTTAGATGTGAGGCTTATTGCTGAAATGAAATGTACTGATAATCAACCTGTTGGTATAGTAGAAAATCCTTGTTTCAAAAAATTACTACAGTTTTTAGAGCTGAGGTATACAATACCAGGCAGAAAATACCTTTTGACAATTGAAATAAAAATAGATAAATCTTGGTGAAAAAATCATGTTAGTATAACTACTTACAAGTTCCACAATTTAACTTTAACTTTAATTGTTTATTAACTGTTCAAGTTCCTCATATAATATGAAGATATGAGGCAAATTCACAATTGCCTTAATCTGGTAACTTTTCAATAGGAGTTCCACAATGCAGTCAAAGAAGGCTTTTCTAATATTAATGATCAAATTTTTTTGGTTTCGGCTACTGAAAAAAAATGATAACCTTTTAAAAAAAAATGATACAAGAAATATTGAAAACTTTTAAGAAAACATTTATTGATTAAAACTTTAACGCAAGAATATTTATTTAAAAAACAAACAAACTGTTTGTAATTGTAACATTTTTTCATAAAGTTTTACTTTATTCTTTGCAAGTGTTTCAGGTCCTGATTTCCTTTTCAAAGAATTTTCTGTTGAATCTATTTTATGATTATTTTAATACTTTTTATATAATTTTACTTCTAAAACTTATTTTCTAATAATTTTAAATGATGTTTTATGATGTCAACATTCTTTCTACCAATCATAAACTTACATTATTTACTATTTTTCAAAATTTTTCACATGAAACTTTATTGTTTCTAAATAATAATGCAAATTAGATTCATTAAAAAAAATCCATTTCATTCAAAATAGTTCATTAACGTGTAATAACTTTTTGTTTATATAAATTTTGTAATACCTTTTTAACAGTTGTTTTACTTTTAACGTTTTGGTGTTGATATTTTACTTTTGTCTTTTGAAGATTTTTGTGACGTTTGTTAAATTATGTTTTTGAATTTTTAATATAAAGTTTGATATGCAATTCTTGACGATCAAATTTGATCGCCCAGAATTGATTTTGGGAGATCAAAATATCTTTTTTTTTAAAAAGCAGACAATCATTGATCGTTGATCGGCCGCTATTTCGAGGGCTGGACTAGTTTATAATCATTACGAAAAAACAACAAAAAAACAGATTCCACTAATTAGTTAAAACAAGTTTTTAATTCTGTTTATAATTGAAAACTTGTGAAAGTGCTTGCTTTTACTCAATAAATATGCAGAAATTTTTACTCAATAAATATGTGTACTCTATAAATATGCAGAACTTTTTAAAAAAGAATATAAAAAATTATAATATAAAGATTGAATATTTATAGAATATAAAAAATTAATATTCTTTATTTACTTTTAAAAAAAAGTCTAAATAAAATTCCAATAAAAATTATACTATAAAATAAAACTATATCATATTGTTCATTAAACAGCAAGATGCGCATAAAACCGAGACAAAAAAAAAAGCAGAAAAAATCTCATCATTAACTTTAAAAATAAGATACCTCCTCTACAGTTCCAGTCCTTTTAAGTGGAATAAGATTGACAACATCTTTAAACAAGTTAGGATAATTTTGATAGTTAGCTGCAGCAGATTCAGAATAAATACAACCCTATAAAATATATACAATGTACTACTAACTATATATGTGGTATAAGACTAGAAGAACCTTTGGGAAAATAGAAGAAAGTAGAAGAACCTTTGGTAGAATGGAAAACCTTTTGTTTCACAATCAAGAGGTTCAAGATTCAAACCATTCATTTCTAGACATAATGCGCTCAATCTGTTTCTCTGCACAACAGTTTAATAATGTTCATGTTTTAGAGTTGAGATATATATAGTTCGTGTTTTAGAGTTTATATATATATATATATATATATATATATATATATATATATATATATATATATTCATATTAGGACCCTGCAAATCGGCATTTTTAGTTTTGAATTGAATCTTGAATCGAAGCTGGTCTTGATTTACAAATCAAATCAAGAATCGAATCATATGAGGAAATCCAAATTAAAGCATCTTTTTTCAACAAAAAAGTCTACTTAAATTTTTTTTTTTGCCCGGAATAATTTTTCAGCAGTTGCTTGGAAGCAGTATTACAATTACACTTGGTAACAGTTACTTTACTCTGGCTGAGATAAATAAAAACATTTTGATAGCATCTTATTGTTGATTATCTGAAAAAACAACAACACTCACAAATAAATAGTGATTTGAAAAACATTAATCATTTTTTTTTTTTCTTAAAAAATGGCTCTTAATGATACTTTGTCTTTAAAAAAGACAAACCACCTCTTTCAAAATGCAGGTAAATATGTTGATGCATCAACATCAGAGGAACATTGACAATAAGACCCTTATTAATCTGCATTAGCATAAAATCTTTTGCAAAGAAAGGTAGAAAATAAACAGTTTGAAAAAAAAAATTAGGGAAGCACTAGAAATACAAAAAAAAAAACATGTGTTCTGTGTGAAGCAGGGGGATTAATCTTTATGAAAGCCAATATGTCAAAACTATGTTTTGGATGTCATTTTTTAAATTTAAAAGCAAAAGAAGCCATTCAACTACTGATGTCAACAGTAACAATTTTATATAAACTATATTTAGGGGTGAGCAAAACTGGCATATCTGGTCCGTTATGTTAAAATCCGAATCCAATTTTAACAAATCAAATCAGATATCCGGTTTTGCTCACCTATAGTTGAAAGTTTTATTAGGGGTGAGTCAAACTGGCTATCCTGTCCGGTTTGTTAAAATCTGAATCCGCTTTTAACAAACTGGACTGGATAGCCGGTTTTGCTCACCCTTAACTATAACAGTTAAAAATTATTGTAAAATTTAAAAAGGTGATGATGCTGGCATCTCTAACTCAACGAAAATTTCTTATATAATTAAATTATTAATATACTGTATTTATGTATGTTTTAAAATAATATATAAGTATTTATTGATGTTTTAAAATAATATATAATATACTCTCATACAAGATGTGTATATGTATATATATATATATATATATATATATATATATATATATATATATATATATATATATATATATATATATATATATATATACATATACTTTGATAAGTATATTTCCCTGAACTTTTTAACCTTGGAAACCTAAAAAGATATTATGGTAATAAAAAGATTTACTGGTGCAATTGCATTTATTCGTATGCCATTTTCAGCCCATTCTAATGCTAAAGTTTGAGTCAAATTTATGATACCAGCTCTAGCTGCAGCAGAATGCCTATATAAATAACAAGAAAAATCAGATAATTAGTTTTTAAAAGTTCGTAAAGGTTGTTTTAAGTTTTAAACAATATCAATATTTAAAAATTTTAAGCATGCAGGGTAAGCATATTTCATGTTAAAAATGTAGGGAGTTAAAGGTACAGGGAGTTTGCAGTTTGATTATTAACAGTTAACAATTGCTGAGTTATATATTCCAACAAAAAATTGTACAACACTATATTGTTTTTTGTTTAATCAACATTATTTTTTTTCAATTGAAACAAGTTTAATAGTGTTATACTAAGTAAGAAATCCTCTTGATTGTGTGTTCGCATCATTCTTTTAAGATTTTAACAAGTATTTTAGTATTTTAAAACTTACGACATTCCAGGCATTCCATTAAAATTTGATACAACTATATTTACAATACTTCCTCCATTTTTTCCCATCCATGCATGATATGCTAAAATAAGATAAAAAATTCAAAAGGTAAATAATACTAAGTAAATATTTTCAAACAATACTTAAACTATTTCAAAAATAAATCTCCAAGAACACACCATTTTTATTTTTTCTACTAGAACACACTTTTTTTTCTTGAATACACCGTTTTCATAAAAAAAAAAAATGAAAATTGTTATAAAAATTCTTCTTGGATTCTGCAGACAATTGAGGTTAGAAATACTGGTCTGTAGTTTGAAGCATCAAATTTGCTTCCTTTTTTAAAAACTGGTGTTATATTTGATTTTCTCCATATAATCCTGTTACGATTTATTTTTTAAAAATAAGCGCTATTTGAGGGGCAAAAGCAAGTAAAACATTTTTTGAAGATTTGAAAACATTCCAGCACTGTGTTTCTTTTTTTAATTCTGATTCAAAATTAAAATTTTTTAAAGTAAAAACAAATTTGCTTAATAAGAATTTACAGTAACTTAATTTCTTAATTTGCGACAGTAATTTTATTAAATCATTAATGAATTTCATTAATTTATATCTAAAACGCCTTATGGACATTTTAAATTTAAAGTTTCAAATAAATCAATATATTTAAAAACTGTTATAAAAAATTAATTAAACAGGAAAAACTGTAACAGCAAAAAAAAAAAGTGAGTAAATTGTAATAGCAAACATTTTTCAAACTGGATATAAAGTTGCAAAGGGAAATCATTTCTTTAAAAACTTTAAAATAGAAATTGATCTGAAAGAAACTAAAGAAGCTGAAAGTATTTTTCATTCTACAAAGGGATGGATGCATGGGGGAGGGTAGGGGGGATTAATAATGTCAATCATATAGGTAACAAAATAAGAAAAATAATTATTGCAGAAGCCATATAATGAAAGAGTAAGAATTTTGTTAATGATTGCCAAAATAATGTCTGGATTTACTCCAGTGAGGGGTGCCCTCAATGCTGAGGCCTGCAAAACTGGAGTTCTAGGGTATGATCCAAAAAATTATTTTAGAATACTAAATTGGAATTGTAGTGTTGCAATTGTTAATAATTGTCTTAAGAGAATTAAAAAAATCATTAATAAATTTTCAATAGTTAGGAATTGTTTGTGTAAAAATCTTTTCAGTCAGGGTTTAAATAATAACTCAATCTCCCTTTATTGAGAATTGTGGGGAGCCTAGTGGGGAGCCTAGCTCACGACTATAACTATATAAAAAATTTATTTACAAATATCTTTATTTTTGACATATAAAGCTAATATCTTTATTTTTGACATATAAAGAAAAATACAGATTTGCTCCCAAAAAGGCCACAAAAGGCTGCCAACTGCCACTAAAAGGTTAGGAGTTACTAGAAAACAAAGAATACTGTTAAAGAGCAAGGAAATGGTTGAAAAAAAACTTGAAAAGTTGTAGATTGTTTAAGTCAGGAAAATATAAAGATGGAAGAGAGTTGTAAAGCATTGATGTGCTAGTGATGTGATATGAAGAAAAAAATTAGATAAATCAAAGTTTTTAGAGCATGAAGAGACAGATACAGTAAAAAGATGCAACTTTTCTAAATAACAGGACAAGGGAGAATGAGTTTCGGTTGATGTAACTAGAGATGATAGCTTGTTTGAGCAGCAACCATAATAGTATTTACAGAAAAAAAAAGAGATGCAACCTTATGACAATTGGAGAGTTGCTCAAGCTTGGCAGATAGAAGAGGTCCAAATACATTTACATTGCGTTTTTTGGACTTTGTTTAGAAGAGAAAAAGCACTATTAGAAGAACCAGTCCGAATACAAAAAAAAATTTTTAGAGGTAGAGAACAAAATCACATGTAAGAAAATGGCAAGCATGATAAAAAGAAACAACCCATGGCTCGAATTAAGCATATTGCGAATTGTGATAAATTGCTTTTTACACCTTCGCGTTTTTTTTTTTTTTTTTTTTTTTTTTTTTTTTTTTTTTTAATAAATTTGCAATTTCTTTTTTCTTTTCCAATGTAGTAATATCTTTTTTTATTAGGGGTCATCTCTTGAATAGAAGTATGATCATTTGCTCTCTCGTGTGGAGATTTTCATTCAACATAAAGCTTATGAATTTAAACTACTTTAAATCTCTGTATGGAAATTTAAATTGAAGCCAATAATATTTTAAAGTTTACTTTGATTTACTGAATGGATAAAATACTTCACAGTAAATTTACATATAAACTAAATCAAAACAACAAGCTACTACAGTAACTCAGTTACTCAACTATTAAATTTACTTAATTTACTCAAAAACTTGCAAAAGTTTGCCATACAAATGTTTCTATTTATATCTTATATGTTGTTAACACATAATATAGGCTTCTAACTAAAAATTATTTTAACAAGAAATCTCAAATAGAATATGAAAAATGTGATACCATTTTTTTATATATTCATTTTATTTAAAGCAATATCAAGATTAAATATTTCCTATAAATACACAAGTTGTTTTTAAAGATTATTTTTAAAAAGAAATCAATTTGAACAAAAGAATTTTTATGTTTTTTAGAGGACTAAAACTCTTTTGTACTTTTTGTACTTTTGTACAAATACTTGAAAAATAAGACTAGATTTGTTTAAATACTTAAAAAATAAGACTGGATTTGTTTAAATACTTGAAAAATAAGACTAGATTTGTTTAAATACTTGAAAAATAAGACTAGATTTGTTCAAATACTTGAAAAATAATATTAATATTCAAAAGATAAATCCTCTCATTCAAGTAATTTTACAATTGAAATTATAAAAAATATTAAAAAATTGGAAAATTTAAAAGAATTTTAACATTCAACATTTATACATTATAAAACATGGGTTTGTTCGCTTTAACTAATTACTTCTAATGATTGTTTAATAAATGAACAAATTTTATTTAAATTGTTAAATAGTGTTATATACATACCATTTTTTAAATTGTATAAACATTTATTTTTTTCACAAAGCTGCAAAAATAAATTTTTTAGTCTTTTTAAAAAAGTAATTTTTAATCATTTCATTAGTAAGTTAAGTTTAAAAAAAAACTTTTAAATATTTCCTTGTAATAGAAACAAAATAAAAATAAAGCAATTAAATCATTCTATTGCGACAAGAAGATTTTATAATTTTAATTTTACTTATTCATAATTTAAAGTAACTTAAAAAAAATAATTTTTTAAAAGATTTTTAGAAAGACATAGATAAATAGTTTCAAATGTTTAAATTTATCATAAAAAAAACATGCTTACTAAAAATATTTAAACATAACATTTAATTTACATTAAAAAATGTATTTATTTTAAACGATAATTAAAATTAATTTTTTATTTTATTTAAAGCCTTTACGTAGAATAAAAACTTCAGATGAACAATGAAAAATTATTTATTAAATTTTTTTTATTGCATTTAAATTGTTAAAACATTAAAACAGCCGTGGTCAAAATGTAAAGAAAAAAAAATAAGCGTGGTCAGTTAAAGCATGCAATCGCATGCCATTCCTGTCCAAGCCTGGTATTCAATTTTTTTAAAAATAAAAACCACACATTTTTTCACACTTCAAAAAAAGATATTCAAGTCTCTGCTTCAAAATTATTTGATCAAATATTTGCAAAAAATAGTCTATGACTAAAATTAGAAGATTGCGCTAGGCAAATAAGAAGAACCAGCACAATCAGCCTTTTTTACTGAAATTTAAGAAGCTCTAAATCAAAATCAATTAACAGCTAAAAAGCCAAAAAAAAGTCAAGACCTTCATCAATCAGTTAAAAAAATATGAAGTAACTGATGTGAAATCTGAAGTAATTTTGAAATTAGAACTAGCCATATACAGAATTTAAGCCATTTATTAGATAAAACTTGTTAATGAAAGAATTGTGATAAAAAAATATTTAAGAACTAAGAATTAAAAAAAATATATATATATTTTTTTAATTTATAATGAATTTATAATAAATTGAAATATATAATATTAAAAAAATAAATACAAGAAGAATGTTTAATTATTAACTCGATAGTTTAATTTTTTTATTTTATAACTAAACATAATTAAAACTCCGATTTTTTCTCCACTTTGACTGAGTTTTTTCTTGATTTCTCCCAATTCTGCTTTTTCTCGATTTTTGATTCTTTGGTTCAAACCCACCACATCCAGGTTTTTATTTTTAAAAAATTGAATACCACGCAGGAATTTGACAGGAATGGCATGCGATTGCACGCTTTACCTGACCACGCTTATTTTTTTTTCTTTACAATTTGACTAGGAAGTACTATGCTTAACTTATTTCTTTGAGCATGACCTAGTTTGATAAAGTTTGGAGTTAAAAAGTTGAGAGAAATATAAATAAAAAATATAAAGAAGAACACCTTCTCTTAGACAGTAATATGTTCCATTTAGGTTTGTATCAACAACAGCATTCCATCCCTTAGTATTGATTTCTGAAAATGGTGATATAAATTGTCCTCCGCCATTGTTAATAAGAAAATCTAATTTACCAAACTTTGAAACAGTATAGTGCATCAAATTTTTGACCTAAAAAATAATTTAAAACTATATTATATTTATATGATGAATTATGCATCATGAATCTACGAATCAAAAAACTAGATAACTAATACTTGTTATTTCTCACATTGCTGCTAACTATATGTTAACAAAGTTGTTATTGTCTCACATTTTTGTTAGTTATACCTTAATAAAGTAACGATTGTTGTCTCATATTGTTGTTAATTAAACCTTAGATAAGACTTTGTCAAACAAGCCAACAAAACAGGTGATATGGCAAATTAAAAAACATTAAAAGGATGAAATAATTAACTTGTTAACACATTATTCAAATAAAAAAGCTAATAAAATTGACAATACTTCAATATTTCAACAATTTAAGAATCATTTCTTATAGGAATGAGACAAAATCAGCAACTTGAAATAGCTGAGTTATTGGATTTGCTTTAAATTTAAAGGTATATCTTTAAATCATTTCATAAGAAAAACCTGATAATTTGAGACCATTTGAGACCAAAGTTTTCCATGTTTGAATGCAGCAATTTCATGCAGTTAAAAAAGTTGTTTGATTGAGAGGAAGTGCTGAGTTTTTATGAATGAAATTTACCTTTTATATTACCTGCAACATACATTTTCCCATTATGCAAAACTACCTCAGGAGTGTTCAATAACAGAAATTCTGTACTTTTGAGCATCAAGCTTTAGGGTAATCTAGGCACTATAAAATATTAGAATGTTTAAAGTTATTAAGCAAAAACATCTTATTTTATTTACTTATAAAACAGTTAAACTTATTTAAAACTCAAAATAAGTCCAAAATTTGTGTCTCAAAACCTTATCTGCTTTGAAAACGATAAAATTTATACTAACTTTGAGAAGCAAAAGATCAATATGCCAATGAGCTATTGACGTATAGTTTTTTGAAAATGGTTTATACACCTATATACTCTCAATAAACTAAAAGACTTTTTAGGTGGTTGCGCCTAAATGCAAATATCCTTCATTCAAAAAGGCATTGGACACAAAAAAAAACAAAGCTGCTGTTAGAATTAAAGATAAAATAAAATTTTTCGGTCTTTAGTAGTGGTTATATATGAAATATTTGATCTATTTTAACTATTATACTTATTTAAGCTATAAAATACCTGAGCAAGAACATATAGAGCATTTTTATGTTAAGCATAGATGACATGGAAGTGATAAACAGATGTCGCAGAGAATGAAATAATATTTTTTATTATAGATTCAATAATAGATTTCATAGTGTTTTAGAGTTTTTTTTTTCTATCAAAAGTCTTTTTAAATTAAAGATACTTTGTTTTGGCATAACCACTCATTGAAGGCTTTTAATTTATTGAAAGTATATAAGTGTATAAACCATTTTCAAAAAACTATACGTCAATAGCTCATTGACACATTGATCTTTTGCTTCTCAAAGTTAGCATAAATTTTATTGTTTTCAAAGTAGGTGAAGTTTTGAGACATGATTTTTGGACTAATTTTGAGTTTAAAATAAATTTGACAGTAAACAAAACTAGACGTTCTTTCTATAAGATATTAACCAGTGCTCAAAAGTACAGAATTTGAGTTATTAAACGGCCATGAGGTAGTTTTGGGTAACGAGAAAAAATGTGTTGCAGGTATTTTAAAAGCTCCATTTTTTTCCTTAATGTATGAAAGTTGATATTACATTCATTTATAAAAACCAAGCACTTCTTCTCATTTCAAACAACTTTTTAACAACATGAAATTGATATATCAAAAATGGAAAACTTTGAAAAATGAAAAAGTTAACATTTTAAGAAACTTCAAATCACAATAACTTTTGAATCACTTTAAATTATGGTCTTTAACTTTCTGGGTTTTCTTATAAAACAATTTGAAAATTTCAAAAATCTAGAATTTAACTAGCTAACTAGTTGGTTCATTCTTATAAAAAACTATTTATAATAATCAGACTGGAATGAGTCATTATGACTAATTATGCTATTGGATGTACACAGGTAATAATGTAGACTAATATAAACACATGGTTATAAATAAACACATTGTTATAAATGTATATTAGTAAAAACTTCCTTAATTAGTAGTTGATTAATTGGTGATTTCTTTATTATTGTTACTTTTTTATATACTAATAGCTGTGGTTTAAAATATAAAAATATATAAACTGTGATAGTAGGGTGATCCAATCTAAACATTTTTTTTAATGTTACCCAGTGATAACATATGATCTAAAAACACTAAATACCAAAAATTTTAACTTTAGAATGATTTTTAGATCCCAACAAAACATTGAAAGTTAGAATAAAAGATTGTGCAAATGTTGTGCAACATATTTATCCACTAACTGCTGTTTCTTAGTGGGGTTTAATAATTTATTATTTAATCATTAAGAAATAATTATACAAAACTTGATTAATTTTTGACTATTTGTATGTATCCCATACAAGATTTATTAAAATATTAATAAATATACAATTGATCACATTATTAAAATGTTATTTTTTTCTTTGTTGAAAATTGATTTTAATTGATTTCATTGAGTAATATGTTCCATTAAAGCTTTTATGATGCTTTTCCACAATTTGAGCAAGTTGTTCTCTCTCTTCTGGATCAAAACATTTGTCTTTAATGTCTCCTATAAGCTTGATACCACGCTCTGCAATATCATTGACACAAGAAAGATTGCATACAAATTTTTTTTCAACATAGAAGTCCTTTAATTTGTTACAATGCTGATGGAATGTTTAGTTTTCTTAAAATTTGTTTAATTTTAACAGATGGAAAAGAAACCCTTTGGCTTTATGCCAAAGAAACCGATTGGCTTTATGCCAATGAAAGACAATTAAAAAAAATTTTCTTCATCATGTTTAATAATAATTGGAGGCTTCAGTTTGTAAGAAGTGAATACTTTAGGTTTTGGTAAGTTTATAAGTTCCTGAACCATCAGTCTTTTCTGCATAACTCACAGAGTCATTGAACAAGGAAAAGAATACTAGCTCCTCAGATAAGTACCCCAATTGTCATTCAATGGTCCTGATGGTAAAGAAAATCCAGACTGTTAGCTGAAGCAGTAATAGCCGCTTGCAGAAAATACTTTCCATTAAAAAAGACAAATGTACTAGGCCATCCTCATCACTTTTTTTGCTTCTTTATCATTAAGGTTAAAAGAGTAGAATTATTTTTATATAATAAATGATTTTTAGCATCTATTTGACAGGATGATCAGAACCGGTATACTGAATGTGGAAACCTTTTTTAATATGTCAACCAAAAAAAAAATAGAATGAGCTCCACTAGTTTTCAATAGTAGGGTGGATCAATTTTCATAGCAAAAAAAAAAAAAGTTTAAAAATTAATATTCCTGAGAAATGAATCGATGTCTATTAATTATAAGATGAAAGTAAAAAAGTATTTTTTGATTTTGATGAGATCTTGAGGTTCCTCTTTAGATTCTTAAATCGGAATTTTGAAAAGCGTATTATTGTTGTGCTGTGTATGTATGCAGTGGTTAGAGTTCTGGCTCAGAACCCAGAGGTCCGAGGTTCGATGCCAGCTCCAGCCCAACAAGCAACATTGGTACGGAAGGAGGCGCGAAATTCCTGTTAAATGCTCACCCGGGGTGCTCTATGATAAGACCGTAAGGACTTCTGGGAGCACCTAAATACATACAAAAAAAAAAAAAAAAAATTCTAAATCCTTGACGGATCCTAATATTTTTGAATTTTTTTTTTTCTAAACTATATCAAGCTTGGACTCAAAAAAAGCAGAAAAAAATGCTTGTTTTATCAATAATAATTTTATTAAAAAAAAATTTTTAGTGAAAAAAATATTGGCAAAAATATACCGACTAAAAAAATTGACATTATTTTTTTCTCTTTAGTTTTGATTTAAAACAAATATTATATTCAAAATAAGTGTATTATTTTGCTTCTTTTGAGTACCAGGTTGATATAGTTTAGAAGAAAAAAAATTTCAACAATATTAGGATCCGTCATAAATTTAGAATCCAAAGAGGAACCTCTAAAACTCATTTAAATTAAAAAAAAAAAAGTAAGGTTCTTTTTTCACCAAAAGACATTGATTCGCAGTTCAGGCAAATCAAAATTTCAAACATTTTTTAAATCAATCCACTCTACTCAATAGCCCTCACAAGGAAATATTTTTTTCCTCTCCAAGCATTCAATTGCTCTTTTTTTTACTGTTGAAATAACAAACTATTTTGATCATGAGGCCAGTCTTACAAAGTTCTTTTACATTCTTGTTAAGGTTATGAAAGTCTTCATTGAACCTTTCAAACAGCTGAACTCTTGGTGATTTGTTTAAAACCACAAATAGCATTGGATGCTGCTTTTATAAATATCTCTTGAATATGGTGTCTACATTCAAGTCGGAGTACTAATTTGCTTCTCAATTAGAATTGCATCTCCATTATACACTCCACAGTTTACAGCTGTTGTGTCATAAACAAGTGCAACTACAGATGCTTTTAATTTTCACTTATCAACTAGATTCATCACTAAACAACATTGCATTTGACTAATTTCAGTAGCTTGCTTAAAAGTTTTTCCATCCCAATAAATTTCCAAACATTTAGGTGTAATCCAAGTTTCTTCTTTTTTAATTCTATTTGGTAAGCTGATCTTGCTCTATGAACTGATGTTTTAAAAAGTGCAATATCATTTAAAGCTGCTCCACCTACTGCTAAAGTTTTTCCCAAAATAAGTAGCTGTTGTCTTTCACTAATACTGGATCCATCAGCAACTGTACACATTTTTTTTAACAGTTCTCTTTTTGAAATTTTAGGGTTATTGCAAATTTGCAGTGATGATTTTTTTCTCTTTGTCACAACTCCTTTATCATTTTTCATAACATCTGAAGAAAGTTTGGGATCATTGCTGATTTTATTATCTTTGGCAATTTCTTTTTTTTTTTACTTATTAAGGTGCTCCAAGATTAGTCTTATCACAGAGCACCTCAAAAAGAAGAGCATTTAACCAGAATGTTCATGCCTCATTCCTTAC